TCCTGTACTGTATGTACTAGAAAATAACTCTGAGTCTTCACCTCATGACCAGTTTGGGGCTCAGCAAAGAGAGGCCTTGTGCAGAGTGACAGGATGCCTACCTTGCATTCGTAGGAGGTGACAGGGATGATCTGTTCCAGCAGGCAGTCCCCACCTCCTAATTGCCTGACTTTGTGCTGCTGCTGCTGCTCTAGGAGAGGTTAGGATGTGTGGATACAGTCATTGCCCTTATGCCAGGCATGAGCTGTGTACTTTAAAGAGGAAAAAAAAGTAGGCAGCTGTTCTCTGGGGCTTTCTTCTTGGCTCTCTTATTTTGTCCCTAACTTATTTTCTCTTCCATTCTGCTCAAGTAGAGGGGCAGAAGCAGAATTTTCTCCCAGGGCAGGGAGAACTGCATTCATGGGAGATGGAGAGGATTTTATGGATCCTAACAGGGAGGATGGAAGGTCCTGTCTCCTCAGGGGAGTGGAAGAGAAAGATGGCAGCTCCTCTGTTGGAAAAGGAAGCTGGGGAAGAAGAAAGAGATTCCCCTCCATAGATCCCTGCTTCCTCCTGCAGTCCCTGGAGCATTACTGAACCCTCCTGCCTTCTACTGATTCCTTCTTGGTATTACCTGGCTCTCCTTCCCAAGTGCCTCCCAAATTCCTATTTTGCCTTTTTCTGCTGATCTGTGTCAGATCTGTTTCACCTTACTAACAGACTTCAGAGGCTGAGAATGATGGTAATACTTACGGGAACTTTTGGTCAGAAACCAGGAGACTAGAGCATCATCAGTGCAGAGATCTCAGCTGGAAAAGGGAATCAACAAAGTCCCAACATGGTCACCTCATGTGCCAAATTAACTGCATCAGCCTGAAATATGGGTTCATCAGATCTGGACTTTGTTAGTTATTGTATAGGAACCTTCTAATTAAAATCCAAGAGATGGCTAGTGTAGTAAACAATTTAATGAGTAGGTGGCACTCTTTTGCTCTGAACAGCTCTTTGAACTGTGACCCAGAAAGTGCAGAAGTGGTACACAGTAAAATAAGTGGGATGTGTTCATCAGCAGCACGTTTTGTGGATTTTGCTGTTGGGAAATTGCTGTTGGGAAACACATTTCACTTGGACACAAACTAATTCTTAAGCTCAGTAAGGCTCACACCTTTGTAAGTGAATGCAGCTCATGTTCTCATATTCTTGGAAGAGACAACTGTCTGGTCTGGGTTAAACTCTGTACCTAGTTTGCTCACCACAAGCAAAGGAACAGAGACAAACAGTTCTTCTCTTTTCACAAATCAGATTAATAATTAAGATCATCTCTCTTACTGCACTGTGTTCTTACAAAATGCATAAACTGAATTTTCTTCCATTTTAATCTGGCTTCTCTCCATTTTTAAAACAAGGTGTATTTATTTTACATAAGCATAAAAAAATAAAGTTGTTCCTTATTGCTTGTTCTCCTGCAGTTCCCTGCTTTCCCTTCCCCTCAGTTCATATTTTATCATTGCCTTCCTAAAACCTTCCCAGAGAAACAGAGGACCTGATTCTAGTAAAGGCAGGCTTGAGAAGTCACCTCGGGTTTCCTCAACAGGGAGCCAGTGTCACCAGCATGCCTCTCTGCCCCTGGCTCTCCATCCCCCTTGTCCCCAGTCAGCAGCACAGAAATGTTACATAAAGCTGCTCCTCCGCACTTACTTGTTCTGGTGCCAACAAAGATAAAAGGAACCCAAGGACTGAGAGCTCAATATGTGGTTTTTTTTATACAGAAGGCAAGAAATTACTAGAGAATGCATGACTGGACCTCTACAGATGTGAAGGAGGAATACTTTAGTAAATATACCTATTTGTCCCTGCTATTCTTTTATAATTTTACTAAAAATATTATATATATGCTTGGCCAGATGCCTTTACTTCTAGGAAACAAAGCCTGTATTTACACTAGTTTCACTGGTTAATGTCACTGAAAATTCAAGACGTGTTCACAATAGAGGTAGAAGCAGTAGCTGGAAGTTTAGTGATTTTTGATGGTTTAGAAAATATAAAAGTAATCATACATTATTAGGGAAATACTATGCCAAAAATTAGGCAGAAAGAGATTTACTTCAGAATATGAAGGGCTCCTTTGAGAAAGAAAATAATCTAATGCTAATGTAAGATTAGAATACAAAGTTCTTATTCTGAAACACTAACAGCAAAGCCAACAAAGTAATAACACAGCATACTGTACTCAAATGTATCATTCTCCTGTTCAGCTCTTCCAAAACTTCATCTAACAATCTTAACAAATAATTCGTTTGCCTCATTTCCCAGAAAAACACTCTGACCCTCTAGAATATTATTCCAATGTGCAAAATTCAGTCTGAATAACTTGGAATAATAGTATTGTGTATGTCGATCAGTGTTGCACAAACTCATGAGAGAGGCACACAGAGAAAACTGCAAACAGAAAAAGGAGCCGGGGGAAAACCAAACCAAAACAACAGAAATAAAACCATTGCAGATATGAAAGTAGAGTGAGTGGGTTTTGTTGCCAGCCAAATATGCAGGGAGCAGTTTTTCCTATGAATCGAAGTCTCACATCTGACACTAGTCTTATCAGGCAAAACCATCTCAGCAAAGGCAGGCAGGATTCACTGCTTAACCACAGCAACATCAGGTCTATTGCCTACTCAAATTCAGTGACTGCACTTACAGAATAAAAATGTACTTGCACAAAATATTACAAATTGTAATTTGAGAAGGTGTCAGACGAAAATCTCTCATTGCTCCTGATCATGCCCAAATCTATCACCTTGATCCATACTGTGAAATGCAGACATCCATCAATAACAATCCCTTATCTAATACCTTTCTGAAAATAATTAACATCTTACCTAGGAGCTATACCCAAGAAAGGCACTTGCAAGTACACCTGATTTTTCCAGCTTTTCAATTGTTTTACCATACTGTTAGGCTCTGGAACAAACAGGTTCACACAAAAAGATACACAGCTAGTTTAAAGCAGACTTCTGAACTGAAATTTTGCTAGAGAGAAGTCCCTTCCCTTCCATATTTTTAAGAATCATCTAGTTAGATATATAAAGGTATGTATCAGTGTTGACACTGTCTTAAGATTATGCACAAACTATAACAATAGATTAGGAGATCACTTCAAATGGACTTTTAAATCCTGCTGTCCAGGGCCAACAGCTGCAAGAGGCTCCAGCTGCTGGACATGCAGGCCCTTGGCTGATACTCTTTGTATGTGGGATTCAGCACCCCTCTTACAGCTGCACACACTATATTTGCCTATATTGATTTATGTTTTGGTGGGTGAGCTTCTTATTAGACCATTGAATCTGAACGCAAAAGAAACAGCAGGAACTATGGGTGTCCCTGGGGCATGGAGCTGTGGCTGCTTAGGGACAGGATGCTCTCAGGCCACTGAAAAACCGCATCCTTAGTATGCAGCAGGAGTTAGTGCTGAGAATCTACCGTGTGCCACCATGACAGGTAGACTGGTTTGTACTTTGAATAGAAGTATACACTTCGGCCAGAAAGACTGACAGAAAGAAACATGGTGTCAGGGCAAGGGATGCAGATTTTGAGGTCCTGAGAACACCATTCATTTATTTCTTCATAATTTAAAAAAAATGTACTAGAGAAAATTAGATCATTATCTATTGATGTGAACAGAAGGTTTGAGCTTGATCTTCGGCAGCTTCCTCCTGCGCAGAAAGCATGTTAGAGGAAAAAGAATATGAATGGAGTTTGTCCAGAGTTTGTTACAATTAACACCCCCTTCACACAACTACTGCTCCAGACCGAACAGGATGCTGAAAAAAAACATCCCAGAGATGATGTGACTCCAAATGGCACTTTGGAGCTCAGGCTACAGAGGGTGCGAAGTGTTTACCAGGCATAGCTGAGTATCAATGAGCCTGCTCTGCTTCCTTGCATATCTCCCTTCATGGCCCTAACTGTAAAAGCAGTACTTTATCCAGGGAACTACACCATCTTTCATAACCATCTGTGGGTAATCTGCAGGTGTTATATTAGCTGCAGGAGGATGCCCATATGTTTCCTGCATGCAATAGAAACATACTGAGAATTATTTAAAAAAAAATAAATTAAAAAAAGGCCAGTGCAGATTGCATGCATTTAAGGCTAAAGGGCTCAAGCCAAGATCTTTAAGTAAAATCACACACAGATGAGATGTAATTTACAGTGATTTTCTGCTTCATATTAAAAAGCAGTGAAGAAGAAACGCTGTCTTTGTTTCCTAATGTAGTTTTTGGAATTACATTATTACATGGGGAGACAGTCCTGTGAGATGCCGAGCAGTCTGACTGCTGGTACTTGGGGTTGCTCAGCACTTGCCAGGATCAGGCCTTTGCAGTCAATTTACTTATGATCTATATTCTTGTATTGTATATGTCAGAGTCAGCAATTGCCCCACAGCTACTAATGGGAGTTATTTATTATTACTGTACAGAAAGAGCCAAAAAGCAAGTACCATCCCTATCTCTGTCTGAAGGATGAAAGCAGTTGGAGAATTTTTTTTAATACTTGTCTCTTTGGTGTGAAGCAGTTGAAAAATGGGTAAAAATGAACAAGAGCTGAGTTTAGAGGGTAAACACAAGGTAAAGACCTTATATTTTACACACAAATACATGTGTAAACTTACTTAGTATGCGCAGGCACAGACTAACCATCTCACTAGTTCTTTTCAGAATCCTGTATTCAGGTCTGTACATATGTCTGGGAAAACTTCAATTTTCACATTTTTTACAGTCTAATGTATACTAATCCATTTTTAAGAGCATCAATGAAGATGAAGTAAACATCTACATAAACATCTGTTTCAGGTGAGTATTCCTTCAAGAGCTCCCCCAAATGTGATAGCTGAGTGTAGAAAATATTCTCAAGGCTTGACAAAATACTGCAGGTTTTTATATGCAAGCAGTTGTTCGCATTTCTTCAAAAGCCTTCAAAAATAAACCAAGCGATTACACATGAGCATTTTTCTCTGTGCACAGAAAAAATTTAATTGATCCAGAGGATCCAAGGTGTGCCAGGCTGACTCTCATGGGACAGATGGTCACAGTGCCTCCGGAGGAAGTGGAATTTGCCAAGCAAGCCATGTTTTCCAGGTCTGTATGTAACAGGCATATAGCAGAATGCAACCCACAGGTTTGAGACAAATACATGGACATGGCTGTTTGATATGGAAAATCTGAGAAGTAACAAGCCTGTTCTTTACTTTGGATCCACGAAGCATGTTGACTCCTGTGTAGCTTGGAATGACAGGCAGAGCTGTACAACCTCCTTTTAGCTCCTCAGGTAAGAAAACATGTAAATGCAATTGGTCAATATTGGGGTCTGGTAAAGCACCCAGTATTGCTGGTGGGGTCTCTTTGAGCTAGCTGTAAGGGCAGGCCCAATAAATGAGACAGAAATACAGGATGAGAAGGCTCGAGCAGGTGACAGCTCAAGAAGGCCATGTGCTGCCTGCTAGCCAGTTTTATTAGCTCTCCTGATGTACCATGACTGCTACCGAAGTGTTTTCTAAACACTGATCAGATACAAGCACAACCCTGACACACCTTCGGAGAATCTCCTCTAACTGTTTTGCACTCAGGTAGAGACCAAACAACATCTGCCTTTAGAGATGAGGTTCTGCAACAGGGGCAGATGGTGGTTGCTGGCTGCCTTCCTTGCAGTTCTCACCAGACTGGGGCGTGGAAGATCATAGACCTTACTGCATGGGAATGCAAAAAAGACCTCAGATCTCAGGTTTCACGCTGGCTGAGCACACTGAGATGAAAAAAAAGTAGCTGATGCATAGGCTTTGGCAGATCTTTTAGGTTTTTTTTCTTTCTTTATCCTTCCAGGCACCCGGTGGTAAGAAAGTGGCCTCGCAGCTATGAGTGGTTCTTCATGAAAATGAACATTGAGCACATCTGGCTTCAAAGCTGGTATGGTGAAGTTTCTGCCATTGCAGTAGAAGAGTATTTAAAAGCAGTTCCAAGTAAGGGATGATTGAATGGACTTTGAGATAGAGATCTTCTGAGTTTCCTTTCAAAACACTTTTAAAATTTCATGCTGGATGGTTACTTTACAGTGAAAATTTTTTTCCCCCAGAAGGTTTCAAAATAGCCCTGTCTTACAGGGAGCAGAGTGAAAATAAACCAACACAGACTTACAAATTACAAAGGAGAGTTGGATACTAGCCTTACCCTGCAATGTACAAATGTGTCATTTCAAACAGGCTGCTTAAAAATGCTTTGTATCTGTTTGTTTTGACTTTTATTGCTGTTCACCCACAGGAAAACAACTGTATATGCTAAATATAATGTCCTGATTTACAGAAAAAGCAAATTGCCTACTCAGAACACTCTATGCATTGTGAAAGTATTACTGCTGTTTGGTCTTTCTTGATTTGTAAGTACTTGAAGATAATAGCTGCAAATGGTGATATTTAAGGTTTTAAAAAATATTTTGCTAAAGCTGTACTCACTTGCTAACTTGTATTTTCTACATGTGCTTTCGCCTAATTATCTAATTTGATCTTTCACTTGGAAATTGAGTAGAAATTCCTTTTTATTGGAAAAAAATGCAAGCAGCTTGAACAACATGGCTCCAGTATAACTTGTCTCTCACTGACACAACTTGTCTCTCACTGGTTAAATACCTTGAGGTCCCAAGCCAAGTCAGCCCCACAAGGAATATTCCAATACAAATATAAATATTGTCATAGGAAGAATTTAAGTAAATGTTCTCAGCTAGACTACTCCTGTTATGGGACAGGAAAAGTATTTTTTAGTACATGTTATGTTTAACTCACTTCTGCAAGTGATTTTTGGAAATCATCACTAACTCACCTAGGGGTGGAGCCAGTACCTTAATTCTGTTTCCTCACCAAGTTTTAAAGGGCTCTTTCATTTATTTTTCAAGGAAGTCTAAAAATAGTAGATATTGCAAGCAATGAAAACTAATTTTCCTTGTGTTAAAAGTGCAAACTTTGTTGCAAACAATTCTGAATAGACATCTCATGTGATAATACCAAAAGAGCTCAAAGGTTATTTTATTCACCTTCAGCCCTTTCTCTAGATGCCCCAGTAAACTCACTTTGCAGTTCCTAAGGGTATCACAAGAGTATGACAGAAAGAAAGGTCCCATGGCTGACCAGCCAAGTCATTACACAGTTTGCAAATTAGACCGCTGGTCTCCCTTTTACATCAAGAAAGACACATTGCAGTGGGGTTTCTGTGCCTGTGGAGAAGGTCTTCCAGGATTCCGGGGAGGGCACCAGAGCTCTGGACACCACCCAGCACCACTGCCGAGCTGAGAAGCAGGAGCCTGGGTCCCTGGCGAGTGACCTGAGCTTGTACAGGTTAATCTCCAGGCAGATCTCAGAGACAACTGCATGAGCTATGACCAGCTGGAAGCATATGAAGTGCAGCTGAGCTTATTTTGATTCAGTCGTGGAGAGAGGAAGTCATCCCCAGAGTGGAGCTGGGCACCATGCCGGTTTAACTACCAAGGGCCACTCAGGCCTTCTGTGAGTTCAAGGCTCTGGGCTTTGTTTACATTTTGGATATTCTGTCAGAATCACACAGAAATGCAGGGGGAAAACTTCATTTAGACACTTACTAGAATTTCTTTTTCTTGTTTCATTGCCAGACACTCATGTTAGCAGTGCAGATATTTTGCAGAGGTAATTACACAGAAGGAGGATGTGTCCTGCCTCAATCCATTTCCTTTTTTTTTCTTTTTTTCTTGGCAGATGTGCAGCATATTCCCTCTCGCACTGTGTAACACTTAAGCCAAATGACCCATCCTTCAGATTTATAGAATACCATCAAATGAAATCCTCCTCAATTCATATAATTTTGCCATGGAGAGCTTTGTCCACTATGGATTTGATCCCATCCAGATTCATGAGACTTTCAAAACTGAGCTGAAGAGGCAGAACACTAGACCCTGTACAGGAATCTCCACAGGTCTAACATTTCTGTGCAAGTTTAATTACAATTTCATTATCCCAGTTCAATAATATTCCCAGAGAAACCCAAACTGCCTATACTCTCCCCCGCCCCTAAACACACACACAGATAGATTAAGCAAATCCAGTGTACAAGCTTAACCTTTAAACAAGCTGAAGAAGAGGAAGAATTTTAGAAATGCTGCTTTTACTATACTCTCAATTTCACTTACATCCTTAGCCTGGTAACAGTGACAAGGTCCCGTGTGCTATATATTCACTTACTAACGGTCTTGCCTTTAAGCAGTTAGGGATTGTACCTAAGGATGTTCAGTAAAGTTTTAACTGTTTAATAAGTTAGTGTGCTCTAAGCAAGGTTGGGAATTTACAATACCCAGCTTGCTATAAGCTGCCTCCCTGCACATCTGGATTAATTAGAGTAGTTTCTGTATTGTAAATTGGCAGACTCATCAAGAAGCTTTTCTTTAAGGACCTGCTGTGAGGCTCTTGACAGAACCTGAAAACATGAAATGGTGATAGCAGGTGAAGTGCCATCACTTAACTCACCTGTTCTCACTTGATGATTCCTTCTCCCAAGGAACAGCTACCATAAAAGTCTTTCAAAGTTTGTAGAAATTCATCAAAAATACAACCTGCAAGTTTTGAATGGAATTTTCTGAGATACCATAATTAAACAGTAGTTCCTTGAGACTATAAAGGGTCTCATCTTGCTTCAGTTCAAGTAAATAGCAAAAAGCCTATTTATTTGTTGTGCTTTATTTATTAGCTCAAATAAGCATTTTTATAAAAGGTCTTGATAGGCCTTATGAATTTATTAAGCATTTCAACTACTGATGTGTAATTTATTTCCATGTGTTCTGTATTTTAGTTATTTCTGTAGCTTCCCCAAAAAAGCCTGTTGTGCAACATGTATTATTTAAAACTTTAACTGTGGTTTTGCAACATTTAAGAGTTATGTCTGTACACTTGCTGAAAAAAAGGAAGACAAAGTTTTACCTTTGGATTTTCACTTTTTGCTAACTTGTGCAAATGTAATGCATGCACAGGATTTAAGCACAGCTAGTTTAAATTGCTGTTCTTATTTAACCAAAGAATGCTCCATTTCTGATGAAATGTTCTTCACCTCAGTTGATGAAATGCAATCTGTCTCATTTCTGGATGTGTATTGCAATTTGCAATGTATTTTGATTTGTAAAGATACTAAATGTTAACAAAACATCTATCGAGAAGAAATGCAAATAAACAAATTTCAAAGTGGAAACTGCAGTTACAACATTCTTCAGTTTGCAGTACAGCATTAGCCAGAGTAACTGACCTTTTATTGACAGCCATTTTAATTTCTATCTGATCTGAACATCTTTTTTTTTTTTTTTTTTTTTTTTTCTTTTTTCCTGAACCAAGCTAATTTATCTCAAGGTACCTCTGAGCACTGAGACTCAGATCTGCATTTGTATAGCCTTGCCTTTCTCTGGGGAGAAAAGTCTAGCCAAGCACCTTTAATCTCTCTTTGGTCTTCTCATTACTGTCAGCTTTGTTTTCACCACAGCAGTTAAATGTCACTCTTAAACAACACTTGCTCTTCTTTTCTGCATGTGAGGACTGGACATCATCTCTCAGTTGTGTATTAACAGTGTTTTGGAAATCTCTGCTATTTCTTCCCTTGCTAGTCTTGCTCTGACAAGTTCTTGTTACATCTTGTTCTCTGCTGTCTACTTTCCTCTGGCACATTTTCTTGAGCTGACAATTTACCTTTTCATCTTGCTTTCCTGCACAACAAAATTCAAGTTCTTCCACTCAAATTCTCACTTCATATCCAACAAAGCTTATAGGAAATATACTGTTTCCTATTTATGTCTTAAGAGTCTTTGTCATGCCACTAGTTGGACTGCATTTGCTGTGAGGACTGTGACAACAGTTTCCTAACCTGTACAAATCACAGTCAACATCAGTTTCCTCTTTCCAGTGACCCAATACTCTTGCAAGAACATTTCCTGCAGCTGTTCTTTTCCTTTGTACTGACTCTTTTTACCTTTATCCCATTTCTAGAGTTGTCCTGGTTTGAGCCAGGATGAAGCCAATTTTTCTTTTTACTGATTTTTTTTTCCTTCAGTAAGCTTTCTTGTAACTAGCAACAGTGTGTTCTGCTAGGCTGATAAGACAGTGGAATGTTTTTCTAACTACTGAGGCTTCAAGGCCGCACCTGCACTCTGCCGGCTCAGACACTATGGGGAGATCTGTGACCCCCCCGTAGGAGGCTGAGTTAGATGGACAGCAAAATTGGCCAAAGATATTCCATTCCATATATCTACGTAAGCTCAGAGGAAGGTCAGAGATCACAGAAGACAACTTCCTTCCTTCTCCTTCTCCCCTTCTCTTCCGTCCATGGCTGGCGTCCAGGGAGGACTCTGTTCATCCATCACCGTCGATCCTCAGGCTTGATCTCTCGTGACCCCCATAACTCTCTGCT